GATGCAATTTCTGTGGTGCAAAAGCTCGACATACACCAAAAGCTGCACACTGCACACCCCCGAATTCGAAGTTTTTGGATTCTTCATTTTAGGTGTTTTCGTTGTCTTGTTGTTTTTCGTATTCTTTTCTTTGCATTGGATGTTGTGCACTATATGGAAATGCGATAAAAGCGATTGCGAGCCAGGGTTGCATAATGGGCCGCACGGAACGCGTATAATGGTATGAGTAGCACAGTCTTTTCTGTGCGTTCTTGGGCTATCGTTGGCTTTTGCCTTTATGAAGGAAATACTTATCAACTACTGTTTCATAACTGATAAACAATTATCCTTGACACTCTCATCGCGGGAGCTGTCCTTAAAGACACATGGTACGCTCAAACACATTGAGGGTGCTGAGCCTATCAAACGCCCCGCTGTCGATGTATCGTCGTCCACCGCCAACTGCAAGAGTCAGAGTACGGGCTCGTGGTGAAGCTCGGATTGCTCTCACATACTTCCGCATCCGCTATTTTAAGCTCGCTTTTTATTAACTACGTCCGCGCGGCGCGTTGTGGCTGGCAGCTTCTTGACATTTTTGGCCAAGATCTGTAACTGCGCTTTTGGTAATACCAGTAAAAGCAATTTTCTTCATGCGGGTAACATTTTAGGTGCTGCAAAATAAGAACCGAAGATGATGACGAGGGCTAGAACTCAAGAGCAACTGTGGTGCTTCTGCAATATCCCTCAGAGGCCGCGAATTGAACCGAACATGACAATAAAAACGGACAACATGACAATACAAGCAAAACGCAACTTCCTAGCATTTGAGGTATTATTCATGCTTCCAAAGTCCGAATAGAAGGTGATGAAGATGACAAAGGCTAGAAATGAAGAACAACGAATGTAGATGTAAATAAAACAAAATTGAAAAAACTAAGGAAACGCAAATTAATTGAAATGTAAATGTAAAATGTGTGCATTTCTGCGATCCGGCTCGAATCCGGCTCCGAAGCTATAGAAATACTTCAAACTAACGAGTGGGACGCTTAGGCCGTTTTTATTGTCATGTTCTGTGGGAATGCGCGGCCTCTGAGGGATATTGCAGAGGCACCACAGTTGCTCTTGCATTCTAGCCCATGCGTCGATCGATTTCAAGTTTCTTATTTTGCAGCACCTAAAATGTTATCCGCATAAAGAAATTGCGTTTCACTTGTATTCCAAAGCGCAATTACAGGACTTGGCAAAAAGCCAAGAGAGCTGCACGCGACACGCGCCGCGCGGACGGTCTTAATAAAAACGCGAGTTTGCGAAATAGGCGGAGCATGGAGAAATTCGACTTTCCCACGGCCCCGTACTCTGACCCCGTGCAGTTTTGGGCGGGGGGACCACGACACATCGACAGCTGGGGGGCTGATAGTCTCATACACCCTCAATGTGTATGAGCGTACCATGTGTCTTTAAATGGAACCGACCTCAGAAAAGCTTCCATTCTTCGACGGGAATGTCATCTGGATTGACAGTCTTCCCGTTTTTCATCTTCTTGATGGCATCCTTCGACCTCATCCTCGGTGATACGTGGGATGGGCCCTTGGGTCGGCAGTTCATTTGGAAGCGCCGGATGCGGATACTCAACGTTGCAGATTTCCTGGTAAGAATCTTGTCCAGCGCCTTCCTGGTTTTGTCGAAGTCGTACAGAGGCACTCCATTGCCAGATTTAATGAACGTCGTGGTGCTCGTGAAATCTTGCGTTGCTCTGGAGCGAGCTCTGGCAAGGCGGTAGATCTGCTTCTCTCCTTCTTTGGTATCCAGGTCGGCGACAAGAGCTCTGTCTTGCTCTCACTGGCACTAGCAACTGATCGTTGCTTGCTTGGCTTCGCGGTACTTCATTCTCTCTTCCGTAGATTGAGGTGCCAAGCTTTGTACGCTTCTTTCTTTGCCCTTGACCGCGGATTAGAATCCCTGTTCTAAGACCAGGCACGACGGTCCGGCTTGAATTTCCTCTCATAGACAACCAGTCGGATCGCCCGGCTGACGCCGAGCTCTCCTCCTTCTCTTTAGCTCGGCTTCGCCGAGCTGGCCTGGCTTCGCCAGGCGCGCTCCATAATTTTAACGGATTTTTCAATAGTGTGCTGTAGTGATGGAATCGTAACAGGCCAAGGATCTGCACCACCTAGCACACGCTCTCACTTGCAGCAGGGGTGTGATCCGCGCCATAACACCCATACAATACATAAATCTGTAGAATAAATAGTAGAATAGATACAATGTGTAGTCGGCCAATACAGCGCAATGTGAATCGCTCAGTAAAAGAACAGATTTCGTTCCCATCACCTGCACCGAAATGCCTACCGATGAAACGTTCCCCTTTTCAATTAGCATGCAATCCAATCGCTGAAGTATAATTATTAGTATTATTAGTAGGTACCATACTCCCTTGTTATTCGTTCTCATCAGTAATTGAAAGTTCAAAAGTTAAAAAAGCTTTTGAACCCCCTGAAGTGCCACTATTCAGGTTTTTCGGTTCTCCTCGGTTTTCCTGGAGTTCCTCTTTCAGGCGAACCACCCCCCCCCCAGACATCCACATTATCTAGTAGGATATAGTAGGATAGCGAGATGAGTTCATTTTCTAGTGCTATCAGAGAAGTGATGGCTAAAGGAAAAGTTTGCACACTGAGCCTTCAATACTTGGCAGTATAGTGATAAGAGATGTAATGAGAATGGCCCTTATCCTTTCTTATCAATTGATAAGATTGCCTGTCACCCGTCATCAATGTCCCTATCACTGAAACTCTATAATTTGGTAGTGTAAAGGCTCCAGCAATTTGACTGAACAACAATGGCAACCTTCCTTATCAGCCCCTATCAGCTGTTATCACCTCCTGTCACCTGCCGTCGATGTCCCCATCTCCCCTCTATATCATTTTCTGAAATCAACGCCTAGCTGATGCTGTGTCCCGCGTCATTAGTATGGTGACCTTCCCATTCTAACTCCCCTTATCAAATCCTATCAGCTGCTATCATTCCCTGTCACCCATCAATAATGTTCCTGTCCCACGTCCTATATCATACCTTGGAACCAATGTCCCACTGTTACTGTGTCCCGCACTATGGGCTCGGTCACCCTCCCCTTCTAAGGCCCCTTATCGAATCTTATCAGGTGTTATCACCTTCTGTCACCCACCAAAAGTGTTCCCGTCCTGCCGTGTATATCACTTCTTGGAACTGTCATCCTATCTTTTCTGCGACGCTCGCTATGAATTTCGTGACAGACAGACAGACGCACACACAGACACACACACAGACATAGCGGATTATATCTGGTGGTTGCTTGCGCCTATGTGTCCGTTAAAATCAACCATGATGTACTAGCGTCAAGTGGAAGCGCAGATGTTAAGTCGGCAAGCGGACTTACCTTTGCCAGCAGTGGACAATTTTTCTTGCGGAGAGTAGATGCACATAATGCGGGTTGTTTTTTTGCCAAAGATCACAGTAATTTTCATGATGCGTCCGAAGACCCGTTGCACATCTTCAACTCGTTAGCCTCTGTGAAACTGCAATAGCGACACCGCTGACGTTGGACCGCTCTCCGTCATAGTACAAGTTGAATCCTCCGATCCTTCTCGTCTTAGCGCCAGCCCATTCTTTTCCTTGAAGCGCGCAGATGCCAATGTTCCTTTCTGTCACCATGGCCGTCACTTCGGTGGAGCGGCCATTTAGGGTGCGAATATTAAGCGTGGCGATTCTGATGATCTGCGTTTGTACATTACGATGGACGTCCTAGTTTGGTCCATTACGGTGGGCAACCTAGCTCTGATCGGGATACTTGAAAAATCATTGATCATTATTGTGCAGAGTTTGAATAAACCTCCTGAGTGAAGTTCTGTAACGCTACTATCCTCCGCGTTACCTGGCGGAAGCCGCCGTTTGGAGGCGATGCCACGGCTACTTTGAGAAAAGCTTTACGCTGCGATATACAGGGGGGGGGGACAAAAAAGATGCTTTTCTTCCTCGACTTTCGAGGCGCTATAAGTTACACTTTATTAAATTCTTATCGGACATTTCTACCACCATATTAAAGAGCATATTAAATACTATCATGATACTCCGCCACAGCCTTCTGGAGGAGCGCCATCGAGAGATTCTGCCACGCGACCGTGAGTGAGTTCAGCGAGATCGTTGATTTCTCCGCCACTGTAGACCACCCTATTGAACTCCGCCCGAACCAGGTAATTGAGGGGGTTTAGTTCAGGTGACCTGCTTAGATATTCCATCTTTTCAGGTACTCAACGCCCTTCCATTCCAAGTAGGCGAGAGTTTTTCCAACGCCCTTCGATTCCATGTGGTGTCACCCAATCCTGTAGCAGTACAAAGTTTCCAAGAAGGTACGGGCGACGACATGAAGGCAGGATATTCTCCTCGAGTTGCTCGATGTAACCGTCAGCGCTCACCTTCAGTCCGGGGTCCACGAAGAAAATATCGGTCTTCCCATTCCAGGAACTTCTGGTCCATACCATCAATCCCGTGCCTTGGCGACTGCTGAAGATGATACCCTAGACCGTAACGACGTTGTCGAAGCTGCTCGATGTGGGAGGTCTTGCAGATCAAGAGTGCCGATCTCCAGGGAGTTTTCCATGGGTGACTCCAGCTACAAGCAACTGTTTGGATGTGACGTGAATTCCATAGGCCTTCTCCAGTCCGGTTGCGACTGGAGATGACTTCATATTTTGGTGTACATGAAGGTGATGGGCGAGAGCCTGCTCCTGCTTATCGAGGAACATCTTGGGTATCTTCCGCCCTGGTACTCGTATCCACGTCTTCTGTCCGGCTGGATAAACTTTACTGATATGTGACTCGACCGAAGTGCTTTTTTTGCCTGGCGGCACAAAATACGAAGAGCGGACCCGCCACCAAGTGGACAAATGCTCAAGAGGAGATGCTTATCACATCTTACGGATGAGTTCAGGTATTTGCTTAGTGACTCTGACAATATTCAACAAATAGAAGTTGGCACAGCACGTGTATCACTCGACAATCAAAAGTCCTGAACTTTCCTAAAAACGATGAACTCAAACAGTTTCTCATAACCCTAGTACAAGCTCTCAACATACGCATGCGGCTTTCAGCCATGTCGTTTGTAAACATAGCTTCGAAATAACTCGAGGAAGCAGCGAGTACAACTCTGTGAGCACTGATTCGTGTTTCCTGAAACATGTCACGGCCACATATGACAAATCGTCCAATATCCTAACCTACCTTGACTACAAGAACAACATCACAAAGTCGATAATCATCACGAAGTTCCGCGAGACGAGTAAGCAGCTGACTGCTGTGAACAGAACGCTAAACATTGAACATAGATATTTCCTGAGAACATCTTTTTAAAGCAGCGTTCACATGACATTCAGGCGCCTTATATGGATCTGTTAGTTCTGCGTGCACACATAGAGGATATACTAATTTCTCAGCCCTAGAGTACTTGACGGAAACCCGACCAGCTCGCCAAGGAACCACGGCTACGACCACTTGCCACCACATCGCCCAACTTTCATTTTCAACTGGTACTTAATGGTGCGGTTGTTACGCTACTAACTTTCTTCATTTCAATGGCGAGAGTGAGATGATGAGGAAAAAGAGCTGACACCAAGAGCTGGCGTGGGAACTCGCCCGAGAGCGCCCTTCCTTCACCCAATGCGCACACTGCCTCGGTTGAGCGGTTCTATATGGAGCGTTTCCTGGTTTTATACGGTTTCTTTTGCTTTTTTCTTCACTGCTTAATCTCCTATCTTGTCATTAGTACTTGAGCCGCACAACTCATCATTTTGAATCGAGCGGGGAGGGGCGTGCCTTCAAAAACGGATTTCGAGTAGATTAGGTTGTCCGTAAAGTTCTCAGCGTTTTGAGTGTTTCACTTTAACGATCATAACTTTCTTAATACTCATCGGATTTAATCGAAATAAGCACCTCTTCGAATCAGCACACTTTTGCCAATGTGGCGGTCGATAAAAGCTAATGTAGCAAAGAAAAAACTGGGTGGTCGAGAATCCACGAAATCCACGAAGGCTTTTTTGCCTGGTCCTGATTGATGAAGTATTTTCCAGCAAGGAAGTTCTGAAAATGTTTGAAAAGGTGATAGTCGGTTGGTGAAAGGTCTGGAGAATATGGCGGGTGAGGTAGAACTTCAACCCCCAATTCGTTCAATTTATGGATAGTGATTTGTGAAACGTGTGGGGGCGTTGTCATGCAAAAGAATCGGACCCTTTCTGTTGACAAGTGCTGGCTGCAGCTGACGCAATTTTCGGTACATTTCGTCGATTTCTTCACAGTAGGACTCTGCTGTGATGGTTTGGCCTGGTGACAAAAAGTTATAGTGGATCACACCAGCCGATGACCACCACACTGTGACCATAATCTTTTTTTCGTGAGGATTCGGCTTTGGAAATTGCCTCGGTGGTTCGTCGGCATCCAACCACTGTCCGGAACGTCTCCTGTTATCATACATGATCCACTTTTCATCACAGGTGACAATTCGGTCCAAAAACGGGTCGTTTCTGTTGCGCAAAAGCAGTGAAGAAGAAACCTCGAGACGTGCCAATTTCTGCCGGTCACTCAAATTGTGGGGCACCCACTTATCGAGTTTTTTCACCTTCCCAATGCGTTTCAGACCATCTGCAACACTGGATTTGCCAACGCCTAGCTTTTCTGCAATCTCTCGAACTGTTTGGGATGGGTCAGCCTCCACAAACGCCTTCATCCTCGTCAGGTATTGCTTTAGGTCGACCGCTACGAGGTTCATCTTCAAGGCTGAAATCTCCAGAACGAAATTTGTCGAACCATTGCCGCACAGTGCTTTCTCTAGCACTATTGGGCCCCCACACCTGGTTAATTTGTTGAGCTGTTCGATTGCGGATTGCCCCAATTTATAGTCGAAGAAAAAAATCGTCCGAAGTGCTCTTTTGACATGCTTCAAAAAGTCTTGGGAAAAGGGGGTTTATCAAGCAATGGTGAAACGGCAATTATACCATCAGATAGCGCAAAAATTCTCTTCAGGATGTACTACTGAGACGCAAGGGAGAATGAGTTTTTAATCAGCAATGAATGTACAAAAAATGGTAACACAAAACGCTGAGAACTTTCCTGACAACCTAATAGAATGAAAGAATTGCGCATAGTTTTGCAATATGGTGTTGCGTTTGGAATGAGGAGTATCAAATCGCACGGTGCTTCTCAGAGAAGCTTCGGGCCGTATCGAGAAAAAGGGGAGGAGCTGAGGTCAGCACAGTCAACAAAGACACAACACTATCTTTTCGCTCTCTTTCTAGTCGTCTGACGCTTGACGGTGGGCTGTGGAAATGGATATCTCCTGATGACAGCTAGGAGCTCCGACAATGCACATCATCGATGGGGTCTCTTAACAGGGGGGGTCGCATCTGGTCTGAGAAAATATTTCGATACATAATTTTCCTTGTTCCACGAGCGCCGAAGGGGGGGGGGGGGTGCGTTTGCCCTCTAGCTGTCTGGGAGAGGTTGCTCACCTTTCGCGGTTTTTCCTTACATTGGCAGTATATACCCTTCCCCCCCCTTTCCACAGCTCAATCAGAGAGGTGGGAACTGGGGAGGGAGGGAGCGAGGGAGGGGATCCTACCAAGCTACCTTCCAGAAGAAATCAGGGGGGGGGGTGGCGTACAGACTCGACCAAAATCCCCAACCTATGACGTGCCCCGACCTCCGAACGAGAGTGTTAGCAAATTCGTAGAGCGTGGCATCAATAGAGCACGTTGGTAAAAAGGACACGGCAACGAGGACATAGAAGATGACGGAAGAATAACAGGGACCGAAAAGAGGAGCTGGAAGACATTTAATTTTTTTTCACGCACCTTGTTTTTGCTCAAAAGTGGTCAACGAAAGAGAAACAGAATCTTACCGATCCCTTTCTACCCGCGTTCAGAATGATGAGTTGGGCGGCTCAAGCGCTAATGACAAACTAGCAAGTGATTCAGCTGTGAAGAAAAAGAGTAGAAAACACCCACCGGAAAAGCCCCACTCAGAAATTCATGCTGAGCCGCACTTACGTGCGCTTCAGCACGGGGTTCAGCATGGAGTTGTAGATGCATAGGGTGAAAGAAGGCGTGATCGACGAGTTCTACCTGTTTGTATCAGTTTTTTCCTTTCTCTCTCTTTTTCACAACACCGTCACCATTCGAAATGGAGAGAGTTAGCAGCGGAACAATCGCACCACCAGGAAGCCTTCAAAAGTGAAAGGAAGGCGTGGAGGTAGCCAGTGGGCGGGAACGTGGTTCTGTAGCGAACGGGTCGCGCTCTCCTCAGGTGCTTTTGAGCTGCGAAAGTACTACATCATTCGCATCAAATGAACGCGGGGCGTGCCTTCGATGGTGGGAGGCAGGCAGTGATACCTACTGATAACATATCGTTGCTACACTTCATACTACCTTTAAGTGGATATTAAAGGTATACTGAAACCATCATAACTCACCTCGAATGCGCTCTACCTGTAATGGTAGGGCATAATACGACGCGGACCAACATAGCTCAAAGCATCTACTGATAAAACGCATGTCTGAGCATGGTGCGTAGTTGCAATGGCTACGAGGATTCAGACGGAAGAGGGGCAGACTAATATGTGTAAGAAAAAGAATTGGCACGCCAATGCAAAGCCGTCGCCGGTACGCTCCGCACTACCTCCAGATGTGTACTGTACCACCAAGCACATTCATGCCTAAAACAATGCAGACGCGCATATCCCTAGTCGGCAGCTCCTTAGAACAATTACTTCTGATGGCTGGCGGGAGGTGTCAATCCCCGCCAGGACACATCCTGCCGCTGGAAAAAATTTCCGAAAAATGCTACCCTCCCGTACCCCCCCCCCTTTTCAAACGACTCTCCCGCTTCCCCATCCCACCTATCACTTTCCTAGATTTCCCCAACTTCCTACCACACTCCGGAATTTCCCAGAGAGTTTTTCTAGTTTCAGCCCGAAACTTTGCTGTCGAGCGAAAGGGGGAGTATACAGCATGTGTGAAACGGGAAGAAATCACTGCGCTCTGATACGACCTTCCCTTCTCCATATACCTACCGTTTTTCTAGACTTTCCAAACTTCTTAGGGACTGCCCCGAGTGTTTTCTAGTTTTTCCCCAAAATTTACGGGGAGCGGGAGGGACGGAGGGTATATAGCATATGTGAAACGGGAAAAGCCGCGAGAAGTCAACAACCGGGAACACTGTTCTCAATGCCGCAAATTTTTCTCAAAGGCAAACTCGACCCTCCCCTCACAGCTCCCCCCCCAACAACTAAACATGACCCCCAAAGCAAAATTTTGGCAAGATGGCAGGCAGGATGGGAAAGAGGGTTTACCAGAGGTGGAAATTCTTGGGGGAAGGGAGGGGTCGTAGACATTCGCGAAGTTTCTACAATGTCATGGCGTGGTTGCAAGATGCATACTTGCATTTTTTTACCTTAGTTTTGAGTGTATATCCATTATCTTCTGCCTCAGCATAATTCTTCGTCCCTTTCTTCTTCGCGTAGTATGCACTCAGGACGTCTGACATTCCTCCAGTTTCGTTCTGCCAATTTTTCGTTTCACAATGATGTTGAACTCTGCGTAGACAGTTTTAAGGTGTAAGGCGATATAAGGAACGAACGCATCCGATTCAGTGGACTGTGACTGATGGAGTATGTACATTTAGCTCGGCCGATTATGCAGACATCAAACCTGGTTCCCTTCGGGAACACCAAGTGCGAAGTGAGTGTTGGAGAGAGTTAGTGGATGAGGAGACTTCGCGCAATCGACAGCTGACCTCTCCTTGTTAAGCTCACCCACGAGAGAACAACAACAAGAAAACCACTATGTTTATTTCATGGGAATCGGCTGAAGATTATCAAATTGTTTCATTCACTCCTCTTCGGTATTGACTTCACTTCACTTCGGTATTGCTTTTCGAACATGCATCAGCAAGACTTATTTGTAATTGTTTTTTTTTTCTACTTCTTCAAAGCTGGTGCCTGTTCCCGCCTGCATGGTGCTATTATAATTTATGTGAAAGAATATTTGTGTGTTAACAAATACATTAAAGAAAGAGCAGGTTGAAGCAGTGTGGAAGCATTGGTGAGTGCGAAATTAAGAAGGAGCTCGCATAGTGGAGTTGCCGAGCATTGAAGGCCTGCATTGGCTACCCGTGATTGGTGCTAAAGCGAAGGCTTCCTAAAGTTTACGAAGTGCTCAGTCAGGGAACGTGTCTCCCAGATCTGCTCCAAATCGGTTTAAAACCTCACAAATAGGCCGTGAACCGGATGCCCGCTTGTGTTTAGTGAGCAGCACTGTATGTTAAACTCGCTGAGAATAAGGCATTTGCAGTCTCTAGCAATACTCCATCATGTGATGAAGATACTGTAGAATGACTTAGCCCAGTGAGCCCCAACGTGTAATCGTCCAAAGTATTAGGGTGTCCGGGGAGTTCTGCGAAATTTCCACCAGCTCATTTAAAGGCACTTTCCGCGATAAAATAAGGCTATGACCTTTCAAATGTGTCAGACGATCCGGAAGGAGATTGCGGAGGCTGCGCTACCTTTAGAAAGTGAAAATCGGCAAGAATTCCGCTTTAAGCTAACCAATTAGGCCCATGGGCGCCCCTTAGGCCCATGCCGACCCCCACCGGCTGCTAGCTACTAGCTAGTAGCCACTATGCTATCTCTCTCCATTCCGAATGGTGAGAGTGAGGTGATACGATAAAAGAGCTGATATCTTTATGATAACGACGAGTGGAAATTCGTACAAACATGCGTTTTCTTCATTGCATGCATGTACAAGTTGGGGTCGATATGGAATCCTATTTAGGGCATTTTCGGCTGTTTTTCTGCTGCTTTTCTCCGCTAATCAGATACCTAGCCCTTTTTCGTTCCTATGTGGGTTCCGTTACCCACAATCTGTGGTCGCGGGCTTTGCCTTCAAGACTCATCAACATTAATAAGAGATGGTAGTTCATAGTTATAATAAATATTGTCCATCCTATGTCCCTTACCTTTTGGGCGGGATTACCTTGCGTGGGAGCTAGAACTAAGCGAGTACTGAGAATGAGGGGGCGTACGCAACATCTAAGCTAAACTTCCATGGAAGAGACCGATTGATCTCCGGTGCTA